CGACATTGTCGATGTAAGCACCTGGACCGGTGACCCGCTCAACGCGGGCTTCATCTACAGCCAACTGCACCTCCTGCGCGAGACGATCAGTGAAGCACGGCAGATGCTGAAGGGCGAAAGCGATAAGGTTAGAGGCAAGTGGTGGGAGACAAGTGCGCAAGAGGAGGTAAGTGGCTGTACTTTTGCTCTCTTCGTTATAGATCATGGGCTAAGCTGTAGTCGTAGATGTTTGACCCCCCGCTACCGGCATACTTATCATTCCATCTATCCATTGCGGACTCGGCTTTAGTCCTGTATTTGAGGACGCTAGAATCTAACACCCCTGTCCATACGCCAACTGCATTCGCGACTGACATCTCTCTCACCGGGTTCAATCTGCGGGACCGGTTGTTTGGAAGCCGCCATCGTCCTCACGACGAGGCAGGCGATGTCTTCACCTGGAAAGGAGATGAAGTCAAGGTGAGGGAGAAGATCCGCGTAGAGAGCCAGGACCCTAGCCTTATGGCCGTGATGGCCAAACTAACCGCTCTTGAGCACGAAGTGCTGAAGTGGATATCAGCTCTCAAGGTGCTCATGGGCAACGAAGATACGGACAGCGAGTCTCAGTAGTACGTCCAGCTAGTATAACCAGCTTTGTAAATAGGTCTATTATTATGCATCCAACATTTCCTCCCACCTTTTGATCTTTGATGCATGCACCTCTCCATTCCTTGTGATTCCTGAGGCACCAATTCGGTCTAGATGATTATGTAACGCTCTGTTACTTGAACAGCCAATAGGAGCTGCGGAATTTCTGATGGGCATGCGGCTTGGCGCGAGTTTTCCTGGCAAAAGCTCTCCAGTGGCAAGACAATTTCTTTCAGGTACAAGCTCCTGATATTTGCATCTCGAGCCGTGGAAGGGTTGAGGATGTTGTCACGATCTCCGGCAGTCAGGGCGACCCGGTCCAACCCCCATGCCCTATTACGTCCGGCCGTATCCAGGTCGCCGCAGACCGGTTCACAGCCTCTCCGCCGCGGAGCTGCAAGCTTCATAGCTGGGCGCCCCAGAACTTCGATTGCCCGCAAAACATCCTCATCGACCTTACACTTGGAATCCCTACTCAGAGAAGCTACCTACGCTCGTACTCAACAATGGCTGCACGGCCGGAGGCATGCGTCGTCCACGACAGCGCCGGAGACCGACCCCGATGCGGAGAAGAAAGATGCTATTTACGCCTTAGTCGACAAGATCAACGAAACGGACCTGGAGATGGCTGAGCTTATGCACGAGCTGGATCTTTTGGACGATCACGAGAAAGCCCTTAACCTCGAAGGTCTCGATTTCGATTATGCGTTGAGTCAGACGATCGGTCACCGCGACGAAGAAACATTGGATGCGCGGGTGCGAGAGGCAAGACAGGAGTTTGGTGAATACCTTCCGGAGGGTCTCTTAAATGATAGAGAGACTCAGCTGTATACTCGGTTGTACGGCGAACCAATCTATCTTTCACAAGAGTCTGAGTTGGACCTAGTGGAAGAAGAGATAGATCCGGATAAACTATACCGTGAAGATGGTGAGGGCGGCTGGGAAGAAGTTGCGATGGATGAGTCTGCCACACACGACGAACCTCCGTTGGTCTATGATATGGAAGCTCCGCCGTCAGTCGAGGAAACGATCGCGATGCAACGGACGAGAGAAGTCGCCGAGCAGTTGGGCGGAGAGATCATGCTCGAGCAGTTCGAAGAGGAAGCAGCAGCAGACTCGGCTCCCAAATTCCATCCTTTGACCACAATGGGGAAGTTTTCCACCGATCCTAGCACTATATTCATACCCAAAGATAGCGTGACGGGCCCTATTTCTGTCATTCTGTCCGACTTTTCGAACAAGCACATTGCGGATACCGCCCACCGCACACTCGGCGGCCAATACCTTCCTTATTCCACCACAACCCCTCCCCTGCGCTTGCAAGCTCCTCAACAGCCGATTCCTCTAGAAGCATCCCAGCGGTACATGAGCGAAATGGAAGCCAATGTCTTTCTTGCCACTCTCTACCCTGGCATGTATGCATCTGTCCTGAGTGTTTTGGTGGAAGTCCGGAAACGCTTGGGTACGGACTGGATCCGGAACCTGATGACACAAGAAGGGGGCCCCCATGTCCTTGATGTTAGTGCCGGTGGTGCAGGTGTTTTGGCGTGGAGAGACATCCTTCGTGCGGAGTGGGAAGCCATGACGCCAGAGCACAGCTCAGAGGACCCCTATCCCGTGGGCCGGTCGACCGTTGTCACTGGATCCGACTCTCTTCGTCTCCGTGCCAGCGCTATGCTCGAAGACACCAGCTTCCTCCCGCGGTTGCCGGATTACGTCCATGTCCGTGAGAAGCCAACCTTGCAAGATGAACGGGCTCCGCCAAAGCGGAAACAGTACGACATTATCATCGCCCCACACTCCCTGCTCGGAATTGAGGAAGAGTTCCTCCGGAAGGAACATGTACAGAACCTATGGAACCTTTTGAACCCCAACGGAGGTGTTCTGATCCTCCTCGAGAAGGGACACCAGAAGGGCTTCGAAGCCGTTGCCGGAGCGCGTGACATGCTCCTGAAGCGATTCATCTCCAGCCCCGGGTCCACCACATACGAAAACTTGACCGAATCGCCCGAAGAAGACACGTTCATCGAGAAAGAAGCCGGCATGATCGTCGCCCCTTGCACCAACCACAACAAGTGCCCCATGTACCAGATCCCCGGTCATACCAAGGGCCGTAGAGATTACTGCCACTTCCAGCAACGCTACATCCGTCCGGCCTTCCTCCAGCGCATCATCGGCGCCAAGGACCGCAATCATGAGGACCTGAAATTCAGTTACATCGCCGTCCAGCGCGGTGTCGATCGTCGTGTTGAGGACAGCATCATCCAGGGCACCGAGGCCGCAGATGCAGCGTTTAACGGATACGAAGACGCAGTCGAGATGCCTAAGCAAGAAGCCGAAGCATCATCCGACGAGGCTGTCGCATCCGAGACTCAACCTACACCTCCTACAGAGCAACAGGAAACAGGAGGCGTCAACTTCCTCTCTCTGCCCCGTATCGTCTACCAACCTATGAAGCGCCGTGGTCACGTCATCTTCGACCTTTGCACGCCGGCCGGCAAGATCGAGCGCTGGACCGTCCCCCGGTCGTTCAGTCGGCAAGCGTACAAGGATGCGCGCAAGTCCCAGTGGGGAGACCTGTGGGCTCTTGGTGCGAAGACTCGTATCGCCAGATCGCTGAGACTCGGCGAAAAGCACGGTGAGAGTAGGAAGGAACGACTTGCCCGGAGGGCTGCTGAGAAGGAGGAGATGGAGGAAGACGCAGAGGATGCTTTGGAGGAAGGTATGGAGGCTACCAGCAGTATGCCTGATCTTCAGACTCCGATTAAGAAGAAGGGCCAGAAGATACCCAGTTGGGAGAAGCAGCAGATGAAGAAGAAGCGCAGACAGGCTTTGAAGCAGGTGAAGCCTTCGGCCTAAAATTACTTACTGGGTCTGGGCTAGCTTGTTACATTTTCGGGTATCTACATTGGAGTCAAAAGTGGCGTATAGAGGGTTTGGATTGCTTCCTGGCTAGGAGCATCATTTGTGGGTTGGGGACGGTCATTGTATTATATTCCTGTACGATATATGACATGTAGTATAGACCTTAGCTGTTGGTTGCAAAAGGCTTCTTCACTCAATGGCACAATCTCCATTATTCATCTTGTGCATGGTCATCATGCGTAGCGGTAGGGGCGGCTCTATAGATCCCTCTGCAAGTGCCCCAGGGACTTCTATGATTGAGCGTTCCACGTGGACACTGAATCTTCCCAGCATTGTCCTCCAACTCTGGCATCTTCCGCTCATAGTGGTGAGAGCGCGACGGCTATAGCTTCACCGGTGGTCCTTCATTCACAGCGGCTCTGTAATTTCAGTATGCAAGTGTCGACCTGTAGAGCATAGTCATAACTCGACACGGCCATAAGTGGATATGCGGCCGCACATCCCGAATCGGGGCTATACTCTCCCTGACGAGATGCATCCCCTCTTGACTCTGAGAAATAACATCGTAGCCACAAGCCATATCTTCCTTAGCCATATCCTCAGTCATCTGATATCCTACATTCGCAGGATTACCCGAGGTGGCTCAAACGATCCCATCTTAGTCGAAGAGCTCTCAGCAAGCATCACTTCCATCCTTCAAGCCGAGCTCTAGTGAAACGCCATACTCTTCCTCAACTGCCTCTCCCTCTGCGTACTCTGCAACTCCAACCTCTCCACCGCATACTGCAGCCGTTCCTTCTTCTGCATCAGCCTCTTCAACTCCGCCGCCTTCGCAGCCTTCCCTGAGGCGCCCCCGCTCTGGAGTCGATCGCCGTAAGCGCTACGCACTCTCGAAGGCTGACGGCTTTCATTCGAGTACATTCTTCCCTCTTGCAGCTCGCATTTAGCTCTCAGTCCTTGTTCTCGCCGCGAGAGCTTCTCCACGTGGTTCGACGCTAGTGAGAGCAGGTGGGCGATGCTGGGAGTGATTTCGTCTAGCAGGGATTGTTGAGCTTCGCGCAGAGTAGGTTCGGGAAGGAGTTCGAAGTGCTATTGGGGTTAGATTGGGGGTTTTGATATTAAGCAGGAAGGTATGGGGTACGTACTCGGGTTGTTTGCAAGACCTTGCATAGTCGGGGAAAGTCGCTAATACCGGAGTCGAGGGTGGAGATGGAGGAATCGAGGAGTTGGAGGGAGGATCCAAGGGATGAGACGGAAGCTTGAAGGTGGTCTGCCATTGCGATTATATTGGAATAAAATATCGGGTATCTGCTGGAAGAGAAGTGTGTTGTGTATTGTCTTGATTAATCGTTATCGTGATTGTTGATTGTTTACTGCGGAGGGGCAACCGGCGATAGACGCAGCCGTAAAAGCGGCGCGGCAAATCCTTCCCGAAGTGTTAAAGCGGCCGGGGATTCGGACTCCCGGACAAACCTCGTTGTACCCGCTCTCGTCTCATCGCTCCTTCACCAGCTGCTCCAACTCCCGTCTTTCCTCCATACCCAGCACTTCGCTTTCAATCAAACGATCTGCCCACCATGTCTCTCCTCGGAAAGAAGTTCCCCACCCCCGTTGGTACGTTTGCTGTGGCCCTGGCGCGCCCATGTTGGGTTCGAGAGATGAGGATATGAACTGACTTGCTTTGCTCATTTAGCCAAGCCCATGGCTCCCTTCTTCGCCGCCGGTATGCATACACCCACCTATTACTTTTTTGAATGGCTATGTCTAGCCTGGATAGCTATGCGGATATGACGGAATAGCTCCATTGAAGCGCGTTGAGAGAGAGGGGTAATAGCGGCTTTCTAACGGTTTTTCGAATTACAGGTCTGGTCATCCTCTACGGTGTCAACTCTTTCGCCAACGTCATGATGTCGAGTAAGTGAACCTGTTACGACATTCTCCAATATCAGCACGTTATCAAGCGTCCGCTTGAATCCAACTTCGAATCCCTTGTTCTCTCGATCCGAATCGTGCATGCTAACCTCGGTTGTTACACCTTAGCCGCCGAGTTCAAGAACGACCCCCGCAACCCCAACCTCAAGAACCAGAAGCATTAAATTAGCTCTGGGTGAATTTCCGAGCACGCGGATATGGCGGATGAATGCGTGGCTGGTGTGGGTGGTTTGAGAGCCCCGGTTGCTGCGGGTTCGTCGGTCAGTCGAGTTTGCGGGCATTTACTGTGTATAAGCTTATAGAAGATACCGTCATACGACATTTGCCAATTGATATGTTGTATACCTATTTCTCCGCTTGATGGTGGTGGTGTGTTGCTGGGAGGTGTGCGGAGCCGGAGGGCATCGCTGGAAGGCTGGTATATAGGATCTTGGTGGATACGGTCACTATGGGAGCTTGGAATCGTTTGCATAGACGTAGTGTGGCGTGCTGCAGGTCTTAGTGTGCACGTAGAGTGTTTGAAGTATATGTTGATCTGCTAGCTTAGGATGGCCATTAGAATGATCATCACGAGTCGCTATGCTTATGACGTGCAATTACAGACTCAGCTTTATTGCTACAATGTAAAGTATACTATATCTTCTACCGTCCATTCTGCCTCTAGGCCAGAACGTACAGAGCTTCGAAGTAGGCCTAGATTTTGACAGTGAGCGTACGTTGCACGGTCAAGGCACAAAGATACTTTCTGCAGCCTCTCCAGAATTAAGCACACGATTCAAATAGAAATTCATCATATATAGCACATAATAATATAACTCATTCAATTATTGCATTACAATAACATCCTCATACTCCGTAAATCCAACAAAATTCTCCCCCCATCCGGATGAAAAGAGACAGATGCCCCTAACCCAAACAGGCAATCCGCATCCCGACTCCCGTGACTTTCGCCGCTCCGGCCAAAACCTCCGGCCATCAAATCCATCCCAAATCGCATTCCAAGTTAAATCAGCGCCAGGAAACCCCCTTTCACCAGGTCAATATGTCGCACTTCCGGTCCAAGATCCTCGACCTCGGCGGGTTCATCAACCCCCGTGTTGTCCGCGACCACACCAAGCGGAAGGTTTTCGAGCAATTCGAGCCGGAACGGTAATTCCAACCCATACCCTAAAGGTCTATCAAACCAGCTAAACAGCTACTAATTGATATATATCTTCTGGATAATAGTCAAGCTCTCCGCTACGTGATCCACAACACCTCCCTCCCCCAGCGTGTGCGCGCCCAGGCTCAGCTCCAGCTCGCTTCCATGCACGCCTACACTCGCTCGACGCAGATCAAGAACCGCTGTGTGGCGGGTGGTGTTCCTCGCAGTGTGATTCGGGCGTTTAGACTTGGTAGAGTAAGTCTATCCCTAATAAAGACCTGAATTGACTGGGTCAATGCTAATGTTTGGTGTGTACAGTACCAATTCCGTCAGCAGGCGCTGGCCGGTGAACTCCCCGGTGTGAAGAAGGCCAGTTGGTAAATTACTAGTATGGGAATTTTATGCGAAAAGAATACATATATTTGTGATAGCTTTCATTGGGTTCGGCGGGTTCTTCCTGAAAGGCGTTTGTTTTCAACTTTCCTCCGTTTCCTTGTTGGTCAGAGGACTTGTATATTAGGTTTTGTTAGATGATGATGAGGAATAAGACATGCCTTTTCATCGTCTTGGGTTTCTGTGCTCAGTTGAGATGGTTCTTGATCTACAGTACTCCCAGAGGGGGGGATTGCAGTGGTGTGGCTATTTTCGGTGATTATGTTCGGCATCATCCATGGCTGGATGTGTGACACCATCGGATCTTGTCGATTGGTCTGCGCAGTGAAGGGCGGATGTTACATGAAGTACTACTAAGCTATGCATTGACAAACGCCTGCACTTGGCTTCACTTGAAATTCACTGGCATTGGTTGGGGGAAGTTGCAGGTTCTTTTTGGTTCTTCTGTTTGCTCTTGCCGTTGCTTTTATTCTAGATCTGTTGTCTGTCTCCATATCTCATCTCTCTCTCTCTCTTGCTGAATCTACTCACTGTTACTCACACGCTCGTTCTCTCGTCATCGTCGAACTACACTCGCCAGAATGTTTGTCTTCAGTCGAAAAGACCTCCCTGCGGAGCCTGTATTCCCCGCGGACCTGGAGAAACTGGGGTAAGAGAGACTGAGATGAGAATCCATCCAACCATAACTCATCTACTAACCAAAGCCAGGTACTTCATCACCAAAGATGACCAGATCCGAAAGATCTCCGCGCCAAAAGAAGAGTTTCAATTCAAGATCAACAGGAACGCGCGCTGGAATGAGATGCAGCGAGAGGCCATGAACAGTATGCATTCTAAGCACCGCTCATCGTTGTATAACTAACCACTCTATATGATAGCATGCATTCGCAACATCGTCCTCTCTCGTCTTCGCAGCCTCGGTCTCATCACTCTACGACTTCCGCTTACAGCTCGTCCTACCGATGCGCATGTGCCCATCCTCATCTCCAAGAATCTGTCCACTGCCTCCCGCGTCATCGTTGTCTTCGGAGAGCCTATACAGGACCTTGGCATCTGGGCTTACCGGACTCTCAGCAGCGATGGCATTGAGGTCGGGTCGGCTGTTCAATTTGCGCGGGCTGTTCTGGGTCAGAAAGATACGGCACTTGTCCTGGCAAACACGGGGCAGTTGGTGTGGCACTGTGGTTCTGGTCGAGCGATGACATTGACGTCCTGGCATTGCGTTCCTCGAAAGTCGGCGGTAGATCCGCCGCTGGTTATGACTCGTCGGAACAAGATCCCTGGGAATGGCGACTGGCAGGAACATATTCAGTATGTGTTTGAGGAGATCTTGGCTGCTCGGGGTCGGCTGGTTAGGGCTGATGCGAAGATTGGGGTGGTTGGGTTGGATGATGGGGGGTTGGGTGTTATTCGGTATTTGGGGAGTAACTGTATGTCTACTTTTCGTGCTTCAAGGTTTATTGGTGGTCGGTTGTCTAGTGGTATCTGGCTAACAAGTGATAGGGGAGGCATGGCGTCCATATATATCAGCAATCTGTCTCACCAACCCATTTCACCGGATTGGCGTTGACTTCGGAGACAAGGATGGTAAAGATTCAAAGGACCCCTCTTCGTTTGTGAGCTTCGTCTCCTCGCGTTGCCGTGGGTATATCCTGTCTGAGCAGGATCTCGGGCTGCCTGTTCCTGCTCCCGAGCATCATGGGTGTAACTGCTATTCGTCTGGCGAGCCGCTGATTACCGAGTGTGTTATGCCCAAGGCGTGGGAGGACATGCTGAAGTGGCTCAATACGACTTTCGAGGATCCAGAATACTGCGAGGCTAATTTGATGTTCAGAGAGTTTTTGGGGAATATGGGGGGTGATACTATGGAGAGAGTTGCTGAGCTTGAGCAAGAGGATGATTGATATGAGAAGTAGTTAGCACAGTTTCTTATTGATACAATCTTACCAGCCATCGCATATGTCCATCATTGTCATTATACAGTAATATATACTACATAGAATAGTACACCGTCAACCCTAACAGTATACTTGTACCCTATTCACTCATATTCACTCACTCTTATCCCTCTGCATATTCTTATCCACATCCATATCCTTCTCCTTCTCCTCCCACTTCTCCCTCACCCTTCTTCTCAACCCTCCATTAACCCCTCTCCCCCAAATAACCTCCTCCTCCCTATCCCCCTCCCCAACCCTCTCCCCGATATCTCCACCCTCACCACCCTCCCTACTCTTCCCCCCACCAACCCTCTCACTCCCCACAACCACCTTCCTCTCCTTAACCCTCCTCTCCCTCCCCCTCGCAACCTCCACCTTCCTCAAATAAATCGCATAAATCATCACCTCCGCCACGCCCACCACCACCGCCGCCCCCAACGACACCAACACCTTCACCGACTCCGACACCCCCTGTCCTGTGCCCTTCCCCCTCCACACCCCCGCCACAGTAGATACCAGCATCTCCGGGGACCGGAAACTCCGCAACGCCCAGTACACGCTGAAACCCGTGATGAGGACGGAGAGGAAGATGTTGAGCACGAGGCCGGGAGTAAGGGGGTCTGTGTCGTTGTCATCATCATTGTTGGGGTTATGTTTGTTGTGCAGTGCTTCGAGTGTTGGTGTGGAGGAGGTGAAGATTGAGGGTTTTGTTGATGCTGGGGTTCTGGAGGACGGAGGGAAGAAACCGGATGAGGTGAAGGATGAAGTGGAGGTCATGCGGTTGTAGGCGTCTGTTTCGGCGGCGGCGAGGAGGCGCGCTTTGAGGGCGAGGTATTCGGGTGACTTTTTATGTCAGGTTAGTTAATCTTGTTTGTGTACGGTGTTGGGGGAGATAAGTGTTGGGATAGGTGCTTACCGGCTCGGGTTTCTTGGGCGGAGGAGGGACGTAGACTTTTGTTCCGCGGAGGAGGGAGTTCAGGGTTTTGCTTCTATCGGTGTTTGTAGAGGTAGTAGTTGTAGTGGTGGTATCTTGTTGTCGGAAGTATCGAGCTATCTTGATCAATTGGTCGTGGGAGATGGGGTCCTCTAGGTTCAAGGTATCGGGGAGGGAGAAGTCATGTCGCGAGGTAGGAGGGAGGGCCTTGATGGCGGAGAGGATGGAGGGTGTTGTTGTTAGGAGAACCATTGTGTATATGTATGTATCTATAACATGTTGTTTGTATAGTTGTGTAGGTAACGGAAAGGAAGAATAGTTGTAGATTGTAGATTGTAGATAGATAGTATGTTGATGAAGATCGCCGCAGATGACACCATTCCCAAACAGGCAATCAACTCCCCCACTCCATCATTATCATTATTCCTCTCGCTCTCTCTCCTCCGCGGCCTGCAGTGCATCTCTTTACCTTCCGCCCTCCCCCTCTTTCTATCTTATATACTCCAACCTGTCTGTCACCATGGCAGACAAGAAGACTTCCTCGTGAGTAGTCCACATCCCGTACACCAAAAATCACCCTTCTTATACCACACCACCACCACAACAACCCCTCCCCTCTCCACCATCCCAACCCAAATATCCCCAAACAACCCCCCTAAATAGAACCACCACTAACCCTCCCCCCTCTCCCCGGGACCATAAAAAACAGAGTAACGCCCCCCACCAACCCGCGCGGCATCCCCGCCGCGCCCTTCGTCGACAATGTAGCAGACTACGTATCCTCACGAAGCGAAGTGGAACCGACGCTACGGTCCTTCCAAGAGATGATCTCGAAGTACCAATTCATGGAAGTCAACACGCAGCGCCGGGCCCAGGGTCTACGCGACAAGATCCCCGACATCAAGAAGACATTGGAGATGGTGCGATTCCTGAAACTCAGAAGAGAAAATGCAAGTGCCTCGGCACTCGAAACCAACTTCGAATTGAACGATACATTGTATGCTCGCGCGACGGTCTCCCCCGCTGATACGGAGGAAGTGTATCTCTGGCTCGGAGCGAATGTTATGCTTGCGTACCCGATTGAGGAGGCTGAGAGCATGTTGGATGAGAAGTTGGCTGCGGCGCAGAAGAGTCTGGCGAATTGTGAGGAGGATTTGGAGTTTTTGAGGGAGCAGATTACGGTATGCTTATTCTTCTATCTTTGATTCTTGTTGTTATGGTTGGGGCTAATGGTTGTGTAGACGTTGGAGGTTGCGACGGCGAGAGTTTATAACTGGGATGTGGTGCAGAGACGGAAAGAAAAGGCTGAAGGTAAGGGTGATGAGGAAGGGGAGAAGGCTGCTTGATATCATTTTATTAGAGAGATATGATATGATACTTTTAATGTACTGTTTTTGTGTTGTTTCTGGTTTTGTCTCCGACTACCCTTTTGTATGTATTTAGTGTCAAAAGCAGGCATTGAAAATAAAAGTCTACATGATGATAGTTACTGTCAACAACGGTAGATCCATCATAGATATCTGCAATGCGCCGTGCCATTATATGATCTATAACCGCCGAAAATAAACATGGAGACCCTCGCACGCTCATCCAAACACTAGCTCAAAAGCAAGTAGAAATATATTAGCTCATGCCAGCAGCTGTGCATCTCGTAAATCATCAATCGCAGCATATGTTTCTCAAACCAGACCCATGTAATCCCAGAGTGGGGAAGCCGAATCGAAAGCAATATTAAAACCATGTATCATCGAACAGAGCAAATGCCACAATTCGTAAGTCATACGACGGAAAATCTCGTCGGTTAGCAGTTCATGCTTCGCTTCGAGTCCGTCAATCCGCAATCAATTATCCACATCAGACCGCAGTCGGCCTCATGTCCAACTCGGTATCGTCCTCGACAATCGTCCACTCCTCCTCGGGTACGTCCTCGTCCGCTTCCTGTTCTGCCACCGTCTTCGCCGAAGGTGTGGGCGAGAACGGCGTCGAGGACAAATTGGAGCGCGCTTGAGCCAGGGTTTTGGCGTACTCTAGATCCCGGTAGATCGCTTGGATAGCCGTATCCACCCCATCCTCCTGTTCAATCATTAGCAGGGCAACATGATTAGATTACATACGACTTACGCTTCGGATTTGCGCTCCTAATTTGTGGGCTTTGACGATCATACGCTCGTCATGGGTAGCCTCCCACAAAGCCCGAGAGAACATCGTCACGTTCAGCTTCTTCAAACAAATACCGACGCCCAAGTCTTCAACTCGCGTTCCGAAGAAGAACTGGTCGCCGAAGAATGGCTTGACAATGGTAGGAACACCGGCACGCAGACTTGCCCCAGTAGTCCCAGCGCCGCCATGGTGCGCGGCGGCATCGATCTGCGAGAAGAGCCAGTCATGGGGTGCCGATTGAATCTGGATGATTTCCGGCGGCAGAGGGACCTCTGACTTGGCACTAGCCGGGTCTCCTAGACGATCAGACCAGCCCTTGGACAGGATGCAGCGGACATCGGCCTTCTGGACAGATTCGATGACGGTGCGTGTGAGAGCGGAAGGATCGGACACAACAATTGACCCGAACCCGATGTAAACAACTTTCTTATCATCCTTGCGAGCACGTTGGATAAAGTCAACCAGTTCCGCTGGAGGGGTCCAGTCAGAACCCTCGCTAAGAAACCAGTACCCGGTTATGCGAATCCAGTCTGGATAATCCAACGGTGGCGGCACCACAGTGGGCGAGTAGTTGTAAAGGAATGGGACCTTATTCGGCTGCATCTTATCCAGACCGGTGGCCTTCAAGCCCAGCTCTTTCTTCCGCCAGCGGTTCACCTGACCTGCAACCGACTTCCAGAAGACGTTGTCAAACATGACGTAGGTGATGTAGTTGTAAGCGCCGCCCATCTTGTGCTCAGGGACCGCAAATGCATGGGGATATGCCCGGGTTCTTGACCAAGGCATTGTAAAGGCGCGGAAGTACGGAATTCGAAGTGCCTCTGCGATGTGAATCCCAGCCATCGCGCTTGGAGATTCAATGAGGAGGTCGGTGTCCTGGCAAGCTTTCCACGCAGAGGACAGCAAATCGTCAATCCAGCCCCGGAACTTCGCTGTTGCCTCTTTGAAGAATGAGTAGGTGAACATTCCGTTCTCTACACAAATCCGCATAAGTTCCGCCGGGTCTCCATCGACTAGCGCAAAGTCAATGCCATGCTTTCTCACCCAAGGTTCAAACTCCGCGTGAGTTGCAATCTTGGGCCTATGCCCTTCGGCAAGAAGACCCTTACACAAGGCAATGTACGGTTGAACGTCACCACGGGAGCCTATTGTAAGACACGTAATCCTCAAAGATTCGGTAGGCTTGAAGTTGATGATGGAAGCGCGAGGGTCATCAAAGATGGGATGCAATTCGTTGGACTCAGTCATCGCCGAGCGGGAACTGTGCATACCAGTGATGTCCAACCTGGCCTCCTGTAATAAACGGTGCTCTGCTCTGGCCGATTCAGACTCATCCTTCTCCTCGCACTCTGCAAGTAGTCCGGACGCCATCAAAAACTTCGTAGACTCAAGACCTTTGTGCAGCGTGACAGCGCAATCATCTCGGATCTCAGCTGTGCCAAACTCGAAAAATAGCTCTTCGTGGCCTCGAATAACGACAACAAGCCCATGGCGGCCAAAGTTGAACCCCTTTTCCTTGTCCACATTTTCCACATCCTTAAGCGGAAGGATCATCTTCGTACGAGTCCCGGGCATAAGACTGCGAAAGCACAGCTTTTTCTGACTAATATAAATCTTGCCGTATAGTGGGATCATCCGATGTAGCCACGCAAAGTACGATGCCTGCAACTTCTCACTCGGCGGAAGGGCAAAGTGTTCACGGAATCGGTCACCGTCTTTGCAACCAGCCTCGAGGTCTTCGGGATCGACAGCCTGGTCATCCGCGAGTATATTCTCGGATTCTCCGTAATGCTTGCCGCCACCGGCCCACATCCCAGAAACCTTCTCGAGATAGCCCATAGATTCACTCGCCAGCAAGTTACTCATCTGCTTCGATCGTGTCTTCAAGTACTCGGCGAATCCTGCTGCGCGCTGCAAAGGATACACCCCGGCCCGAGCAAGCTCATTCAGCGCCGAAGTGGAAGGGTGAAGTCCAATAGGAGTCTGAGTATCACGGTCAGACTCGCTCACGGCGTACTGTATCTCAGGACCATTCCTGGTCGTATGCACCGACCGCGCTGTCTCATCCGAGTGCCGACGAGCAGTCTTCTCGGCGGCCGAAGGGCCTCGTCTCATTGTACGAATCGTAGGCGACTGAAAAACATCGCTTCGGTTCAATATTTGGCTGGCAGATTCGGTGGTATCTGTCATGGACTGCAGAATACCAGATGCCTCAGTTGCCTGCTCAAAGGAGTTTCCGAAGGACAGAGATGAGTCCTGCTGTCTCATAGGTGGAGACATGCTCAAGGCATCCTGCCCGAAACTGAACTGCCCCGTGCTTGCGCTTCGTCGTCGATTGCCAGATTTTCCAATGCCCCGAGATTGACTTGTCCCGCTGGTGATCGACCACCTATTCTGGGAGGCCCGAGTACGGCGAGAGCGAGACGTCTGCTCAGGCTGTGGTGATAGGGTCAGTTGCGACCGCTTCATAGGCGTGTCAGCAACGAGACCTCTTAGGAAGTTGAATGCATCCTGGCCGTCATTGAAAAACGTGAAATAGTACTGCAGTATAGTCAGCAGTGAGCATGGAATGCCAAAAGTTGGGCACGTACCTCATCAATGGCGTAGGTCTCCTCACTCTCAACCACGCGGATCTTGAAAGTTTCCGCAAAGTCTACCATGGGGCTCTCTTCGATATCGATGACACTCTGAATGGGGAAGGAGATCTTGACGCTGCCCTTGTCGTTGTGGGTGCGAAATATGACCTTCTGCAGAGCCTTGACCCACTCTTTGGCGCTCGAGGAGCTATCGGCTCTGAAGTAGTATGTTCGCTGGTCGGTGGTGACCTGGAAGTCTTTAACTTCGCGCCCTTTGTCTTTTGGCTCAGCCAAAGAAGCCGAAATTCCGTAACGGAGATCAACATGGCCGCTAGGAAAGTAAAGTTTCGACGGGTCTGCATAGTATGAGAGAACATCCCCTTTCAGCGAAAACCAATACCGATTGTATTTGGGATTCTTCCGGCCACGTTTGTAGACGTATCCGGACTTGATGGCGACGGTGGACTTTCGAGGGAGGTAGGCGTAGAAGCAGATGTGTCCTTCTGTGACATACATGTACCCTTGCAAGAGCATGCTTTGCAAAAAGGAGCATGCGTACTCAACAAGCACCTTTTCCGGCGCCTCAAAACCGAACATCTCCTTGAGCCGTAATGAAAGTGCTGATGCGGATGACTGCTTCCCACTCTCGTCACGATTCTCTTCCGTAGCAGACTGGGCGCCTTTAGTCGAATCCTCTGTGTCCAACAGAGCCCGTGCTTCTACCATGCGACTAAGGACAGGGGCTGCCCTAGGAGTAGCACTGCGAGGCCGTTTGGGAGTGGAGGCTCGAGACATTTCATCACCCGTCGGGGGCTCGGACTGTACAGCCGGTTCCTGACCTTTGTTCTGCCTTGAGTTGATCTTGAACGGGCGCAATAACTTGTTATCGGATATTGTTCGTCGATGGCGACGACCGCGCTCCGGAGTCGGGCTCTGCGGCTTGGGAGATAATCGCGGCGATTCATTCCCGCTCCTAATTGGCAGTGCACCAGCGGTAGCAGACAAGTTCTCGGCGTCTTTGCGGACACGGTTCTCGTCCTCTCCTTCACTATCACTCGATTCGTCGAACCGCGCATGAAAGCCAGATCTCGAGCCCACCGCAGCAATCATGCCGAATATAGACTGGTGCATGTACTGCATATGACCTTCTCGAGGCCCCATACCGCCCGGGGGAGCACTGAAATCCACCTGCGAGTCATCATCTTCTCTTAAACGTTCGGGAAGAACACTGGCGAACATGCGGCTATTCGATATGGACTGCCTGCTTGCGCTGAGCCTACGGTCCACCCGCCGCTTTGCGTCATCTATAAAGGGTCGCATTTTCGGTACATAGGAAGAAAGTGTAGGACAAAGCGAGCGGGAATGAACAGGGTTCACAGGAAGTAGTTGTTACGACAGAACCCAGGGAGACCCGGGCAGATGACAGCGCTGAAATGTGATCCGGGCTTGACGGTTCAAGGTAAGTCAGTAGGTTCAAGTCACGTTAGGACCGTGGAGCGAATAGGTACTCGACTAAGGGCCGATGATCAAACATATTAGCTTAGATCCAGCTCGATCGGGCATAGGAAGAGCTTTTTCTCGGGGAAGGAGAAAAAGCAACGAGGAAGGAAATGTGACACCCACAGCGTCCACACACAGCTGGGAAGGTGATAAGCACCGTTGGAGTAACGGTACGGTTCCGGACAATGAGGACCGTCAAAGCAAGAGAGACTGGGGCGTGCGAACCATGGCCGGAAGAGAGAGAAAGACTAAGACATGGCACGAGAGAGCAGAAAAAATTAATAAGGAGCGAGGCAGGCTTAAGCGGTCGAGCCAGCAGCCTGTACGATGCAGAAGCAGAGCAACATGGAATGGGATGAATGGAATAGTAAGTAAAGTAGAAAGATGAGCCAACGACTGATTTGGGGGGGGGTCTGGCGTCACTTGCCCGTATCAGCTGTCCGCCTGAGTATCTGCTTGTCCAATCACAAGCATCACATGTGATTGCGGTAGCGCCCGCAGCCAGTCAAAGATCGACGCTGATAGGATGGTGTCATTAGCTAATTATTGGGGAGATGGTAATAGTCGGTAACAATACCGACTCACCGTCGCGGCGGTGCAGGCGCAAGGGGAACCCTGGGAATCCGAGAGAACCAGGATATTCTATGCTTCTTCTATTCGATCAGGAGGCACTGATGTGTCCCAGCACAATACGGTGTAGAGGGCGATCTACCCGGATACTACTACTAGTACGTAAGTAGCCTGACAGACACCCTCCCGATCCACGAGGCTCCAGAACGGGGGCCTAGTGGCCATGCCGAGCAGCCTTGGTCGAAACAGAGCCCGGGGTTGATCGACACTAAATGGCTTTGGTGGGCCTTCTTCCACTTCATCCGCTCGTCTACTATCTTCCTTCTATCAATCCAAACTAGTTGAACCCACTGAGATGTTATGCCAGCATAGTCACTGTCTGATGTTCAGGAACTCGTGGACCTGCCCGGTTTCATTGTCGCCAAGTACGAATTCTATTTAGGACCACGGCGCTGTCCTACTGCTCGAGCGCGAAAAGCGCCTGACCTCGTTCGCAGCTCTCGGGATGGCTGGATAGGCAGCCCGTGCTAGTGAGACGGCTTCATCCGGGCTAACGTCCGCCCGCTAATCCTTCTAGCCCGTTGCACCTGCAAGTTGGGCGCGGTACAGAGTACAGAGTTGCTCGAAGCAAAACGGACCACTCACTACTCGAGTTCTATGCATGAGATTTAAACTCTGGACTTATGTACAATCGAACACACCCATGGCTGGCATGCAACGTAGAATTCAGCGGGCTCGTCAGAAATCACTCCCCACACGCCGGAAGAGTAAAAGCAAAAACACATCCCAACTAGTATTGCCAACTTTTGATGAAAAGAAAAGACGATAATGAAGAAGAAAAAGAAGAGATATCATCAAGCACTTCAAGTAGACTTCTCGGACTTCTTGCGCTTCTTCTCCTCCCGGCTCTTGCTGGACTTCTTCTTCTTGTCCTCGCCTTCACCTCCCTCTTGAGCGGACTTTCTGGACTTCTTACGGGGCACATCACCGGCCTCGGCCTGGCTCCCATCCGCCTCAGTAGGGTGGTTCTTGCGCTTTCTCTCATCCCGCTCCTTCTCCAGCGATTTGGGGACCTTGAATGTAGGCTTCTCGTCTTCCGACTCCTCAGAACTGGATCCGAGGGTCTCGGGGGGCTCCACGCCACTTCCTACGGGGTGAAAGCGCATCTTCAAGTGTTTAGGGTGTTTCCTCGGGGGCTTGATCTGCTCCTGTACAGCTTGCGCAACGGTCTCATCGCTGACCTCGGGAATATCGAGCATCTCTTGGATGTGGTAGCTGGGGATATTGCTGGCGGCGGTGCTGTAGTAGGTCTTGGTCTTCGAGTCGTACAGGTGGAGCGTCTTTCCACCCAGGTCGGGTTGCGCAAAGCTTTCCACCGGAATTCCGTATTGCACACCCTTGTGTTTCAGGACCGGCTTGCCCTGCATGATCTTGGCCAACGAGACTTCCTCAACCTTGGAGAGAGGAAGGTAGTCTGGCGCCGTGATGTGGTAGACTTGCTTGCCGCGAAGATCGGACAGGAGAGAGGAGACATTGGACTTTGGTGCTGCTTGTTGTTTCAAGGACTTGAATCCAGAGGGGGCTTTGTAAGGTTGGGGTGCTGCTAGAGATACATTACGGGAGGTCCTATTCGAGCACATCGTTAATCACTGACATAGGTTCATGTGAGTCAATTGAGAAGACCTACTTCTGGGTAGAAGTCTTCTCGTTGGAAGAAGTGCTGGAATCGCTGTCACTATCGCTTCCGCTCTGGGTCGACTCAACCTCGGAGCTAGAAGATTCGCCAGCAGACGATGTGCTCATAGGAGTAGGCTCCCGTTCCTCCACAGCTTTCTTGTTCGATTTGGGTGCCATTGTGACTTATCGACGGTCCGTTTCGTATGCGGAAATTCGAGGGGAATGCAGCTCCGAACTTGCGATGCGGAGCGCCGGTGATCGCACGTGTGCCTAATTTGTACCGCTAGAGTATACTATATCAACGCGGAAAGTCCCAGCGGAGTATAAAGCACGTCGTAGAAGAAAAATCCTGGGATATAGCGCAAAGCGCGAGTCACTGCGAGTTGGGAGAAGCCGATCCGGAACTTTTGAGCGATAACCTTTTTTTCTGCTCCGCGGAGCACGGACCACCTGAAAGTCCGCGGCCTCAAATATTCACCTTTTTGGTAGTCCCGCCGCCCAGCACTCGATTCTGCGCAACGTCGCTGTTTTGGGAGAAATTGAACTGTCTGCGAGTATCATGAAGCGCAAAGCTGAAAAGGCGCAGGCTGCGGGTAAGCTCAAGCATCCGTGTACCAGGAATTACCGCTGACATTTCACTCTCAAGCCCCGGTCAGCGCTTTCGCGGCCCGCAAAGCACGGCAGCAGCAGGCGCAGGCCACCGCAGCTGCTGTCAAGCCCCCTGTCGCTGAACCAGTGGTAGAACCGCCACCTAAGAGAGCGCGCCGCTCACTAGACGAGCCTGTCGTCCCAGCCGCAATCGAAGAGAACCGAGTCCAAACGAGGCGATCATCAAGGCGAAAGGAAGAACAAGCGAAGGTTGAGAAGCCCACGCCGAAGGCGCGCAACGATCAGCCTCCTAAGACCTCCAAGAAAGTACCCGAGCATGACACATCGAAGGATGTCGAGGATCAGGCGCCTTCGGACGAGGAGTCGGAAGAGCCAGAAATCGTTGTAGAGAATACCGGTGTCATTGGGCTCGAGCCTATTCAGAATGACGAGGAGGGGTAATTTTTGCTTTGCAGTACGGTTTAGGCCCAATGCTAATGGGATCTAGGTACGAATCACCTGCGGACACTGCGGTCCAGGTCCAGGAATTCCCCCTGTCGAAAGCGCGCTTGAACAAGAACAGCATAGTCTACAGTGATGAGCATAGGCTGTGTGTCCGTATAAAGGAGAAGATGGTACGCATGTCCAGCCGGTGTATATGCGCAGTGCTGACTATTCTACAGAGCTTGGTGATGATCGGTCACTACGATCTTTGGGTCAAGCGAGGCGTGGTCAGCCTGATGGGAGCGAAACTGCACCCCTCATCCCAGGTGTATCGGGTCTACGCGCCTTCGACGCACTCGTTGCCTGTAATTAAATGCGTTTCCGGGGTCAATGGCGAGGCAGAGGTGGAGTTCAAGTCATGCCACAGCGGAATCTATCGTCTCAAGGAACTCTCGCCTCTGTATCAGCGGATATGGAACGGCAAGAATACTACAGCGGACAAGCTCACTCTCAAGGGCACTCCTCAGTCCACCAAGAGGACGTTCTCAGTGGTAAGTCTATACCTGACTATCCTTGGTCGTCTGTATGGTAACTAAGTGCCGTACAGCTATATACTTCTGCGGATGATTCCCTCAAACGCCACCTGAGGCCGCTTCATCTCGAGAAACAATGGAGCTCTGCTATCAAATCCCTCTCCCAGCGTGGTGGACGGCTGAAGACTCTCATCTGCGGACCGAAGGGATCAGGAAAGTCTACGTTCAGTCGCTATCTGTTGAACCACCTTCTTAGCCCGGCGCCGCAGACAGAGACCAACTACTATAACACTGATGGGGTTGCGTTCCTGGACTTGGACCCGGGTCAGCCAGAATTCGCTCCGATGGGTCAAGTCTATCTGGCCCATCTCCGTTCACCTGTCTTTGGTCCTCCCTTTTCCCACCCATCTTTGGATGGTTCTCGTGACGGCACGATAGTTCGAAGCCATCACATTGGAGCTACATCACCCAAAGAAGACCCCGATCACTACGTCCTTGCCGCCATGGATCTCATGGAGCGCTACCGGGCACTTCAGGCGAGCTACCCCCAATGTCCCCTCATCATCAACTACCCCGGCTGGATCTTCGGCTTGGGTCTGGAAGTTGCCACCTGGCTGGTCAGATCTCTTGGTCTCTCCGACGTTGTATACATGAGCGAAAAGGGACCAACTGAAGTTGTCCAGCCTCTGGGCCAGGCAGCTTACCAGGCCAAGATCCCTCTGACAATCCTCCCATCCCAGCCCACCGACTTCGTCAGCAGGTCGAGCGCACAGCTCCGCTCAATGCAAATGCAGTCGTATTTCCATATGTCGCGTCCAAACGGCATCGACAACTCACTATGGCTTGAGCAACCACTTTCCCGCACAAAGCCTTTCCGTGTCCACTACTCGGGACCGCAACAGGGCATCCAGGGTATCATGGTCATGGGCACCGAGATCCACCCCGATCTGCTCCATGAGGTTCTAGACGGGTCGATTGTCGCTGTCGTGGCTGTTGAGTCCCCGAACGCCATCCTAGGCCAGAACAGTGGACCAATGTTCGCGAACAACGCCAACGCCGAAACAGATGAAGACCACGATGTCGACATGCAAGACTCAGCCGATGCTGTTCCCATCGTCGGGTCATCGACTATCGAATCCAGCATCACCCGGACACCAAACGAGGACCTACCTTACCTCTTCGTTGGAGCAGGAAGCAGCAACCCCCTAGACCCGAAAGTCTCGCACTGCTTGGGTCTGGCTCTTGTCCGCTCCGTGAACGTCGCCTCCCACCAGCTGGAACTGGTCACTCCCATTACCGGATCGACTCTCCGTGGCGTTCTCGAGCAGGGTCACAGCATCGTCCTTGTGCGTGGTCTTCTGGATAACCCCAACTGGGCCATCAGCGAGGACTATTACGCCGCCCGTGCCGCCGAGAAACGCCATCGGGAGCTAATCGAGAAACTCAAGAAGGATAAGGGAGCTGCCGCAGCAGAGGACGCCACCCTCGAGTCGGAGAAGCAGGTATTGAAGGACAGAATCCGGCGCGCGAGCAAGGTGCCCTGGATGACGGTGATTGAAGACAACAGCCGCAGGCAACGAGAAGCAGCACAACGCGAGAAATCGCTATGGAAGCTGCGGAAAAAGGCATACCCTGGAAGCGATAGCGAAGGCGATTGGTAGTAACTTGCATAACTTGGCGTTGTAAAACTGCTTGCATGTATATACTATTAGACAGTGAAAAGTTTATTTGGGAGGATTATAATGCACGAGCTGACAGCCTACATGATATATGCTCGAGTATATCCTGACCCAACGTTCCATTCGGCATTTGGTTGATTACATCAGAGCCAAGTAGCTTCAGACTGGATATCCGATATACCAACATTCATATAGTATTCACCTCACTATCCCAAATGTCCAATCTATCAAGAACATTGCTCCAATGACCCCCCACCAATAACTAGCTGCTAGCCATCATCAAACACTGCCCTCAACACCATCCAGCACAACCCACCTACCACAATATCATCCCTTGGGGCCCTTGGTAATGGCGGTGGGTGCAGTAGTATAGTAGTAGTATTATTACATGATGGTGGTAGTCTAATATGACTATAGTACGTAATAGTATGCCAGGTTTTTCTCTAGTACACTATGTGTGCAAGCAAGCAATACCAACTCGGACTTATACAATAAGTAAGTACTACTATCTCATATCATATACCACATCCAGTTGCAGTGTCACTCCATTTGCTTCTTCCACCATATACAGAAACTTTACACGCCTCATTCCAGGATAGCAATACGATTAAAATCATGGGAATGATCCGCTCAGCTCAGCCAACAGACATACATGAATAGCTAGTAGGCGTGTATGTATATGTATGTGGCACGCATTGCATACTGATTCCATCCAAGTAAAGCCGACCTTACGCACATGAAAATGAAGTAATCCCCTGCATGTATGTATGTCATGGTTCATGTGAAGTGGGGTGAGTGTACTAACATATTCCACTGGTCTAGTCATCCAGAGACTAGCCCACATACATCGGATAGTAGGTAGACGTCCACTTAAAGTTTAAGTCGATACAGCTTGAGTAATTGTGGATTTGATTTACTGTAGATAGTTAGATAGGAAGATAGTAGCAGATAGATAACAGGAAGTAAGTAGCTGAGTTAGTTGGTTAGTTAGTCGCTTACTAGCTAGTACATTATGTGGTAGCTTTTATTACTTTTAAGCTTAGACTTCCGAGCTAGTGTTTTAGTCTATCTTGGGACTTAGGTTCTTCAATCTACAATACAAGGACCTTGGTGGGTGCACCGGTTTTTTATCTTATCGGTGAGGTCGAGAACACTACAATTACTGTGTATTAGGTGATCATGGCTCAAGTTACAGTCCTTGATTAAGTTCCAATAAAGTAAGTCCCTTTCCGTAAAAGTACATACATGCATGTCATGCCAAATGCCTCACAAGTGCATCCTTCGTTGCCTCGTAATGACATTCAATCATGTGAAAACAAGCGTCCGTCAAGTCGTCCGCTTCTGGCGATTAATAGAAGTCGTAATAAAACAGTCCGAATCACGTCGGAGAGAATCGAAAGGGTGAGGCGGAATAGAACAAAACGCAGATCGCTTATCTACCCACGCTCTGGGGGAATAGAAGGAGAATATAAACTCAAAAAGCCATGCTTCCTGTAAATGTGCCGAAACTCCGCCTCCTTCTGGGAATAAAAAACATGCCGTAGTCTATGTCAAGTCCTGTCCATGTACCGGAAGTAAACGCCGAAATGATGTCAATCATGTGAGGGTTGTTATTGTCACATGAGACTGCTGACTGCATGTATAATGACAGTCGAATCGCGGATAACGGTTGAAATGCTCCGCTTTCAAAAAAATGAACAAGTAATGTGATTGGCCCGAATGTGATAATGCAGCCAATTAAGGTATGCCGTAGCGCAAATATGGTTCACAGGCTATGCAATCACTGGTCGGCGAGGTGCAATAGGAATCGGCTTGGGCCCCGAGGAGATGTCCAAAGTGGACATTCCCAGATCGCTGTCCTCGTATTGGCGCGAAAGCTTATCCTGCGGCTTCTCCTTGCCACCAGGAACTAATGAAGATTTCCGTGAAGCAGTGGCGTCCTCTTCGCGCACTGTACTGCACACGAATCTTTCCTCTGAAATGGGCGAGGCCCCAAACATCGTACCCAACTGCTGCAGAAGCGCAACAAAGTGTGCATGTATCTCAGCAAAGATGTATTGGTTTCCCACGATTTCCGAAAGATTTCTCGCTCGAACTTGACCGGGTCGACGAAGCTGTCCGTCCGGATC